AAAAAAAATCACTATTTCATGAAGTCATGGGTTTGAAGTGAATGCATTTATGTCTTTGTCTCATTATGGGGGAAGGGTAATGACAGGGCATACAGGAGAATCACTCTACTTTGTTGAGGTTGGTTTTGAAATACTAATACAATTCTAGTTTAAAGTGCTTATAATGGATATTGGGGAGTAAAAAAAAAAAAGATTGAATTGAACAGGTAAATATGAGTAATTCTGTAGTCTCAGTGCAAGATGTTTTCTCCGCCCCTGGACTTTCACTGATTTTACTTGTCAAAGACAAGATTGAGAGGCATCTTTATTTCATATGTAACTATGTCCATTTACACTGTTGGTCTGTCTGTCTTACCAATTTCTGAACGACACTGAAAAAAACCCCAAAAAGCAGTAACTGGAAGCTTAAGTTTGGTAACTTCTTTCGGGATATTTAGATGTTAATCACAGCCATTAAAACACACGTTAACTGTTAGAATATGCTACCAGAGGAATTGATGTTGCCACATCTGAATTGGTGGTATCTTTTGGGGGGGGGGGGGGTTCTTCGAAGCCTAACTGATAATTCAGCTCAAACACAGAAAGCAAAAAAGATTTATTGTCTGGTGTTCAGATTAGATTGAATGAGGCAGTAATTTCTTTTAAATTCTGTGAATCTTTGAATAACACAGTCATTCCCCATGTTACTATTGCTCTGCACGTTGCTGATGCTTTGCCACACGTTCTTATTCATATAAATACACTGAAACGTCTTGCTGTCGGTACCAGTTGTACATTCCAGAAAAGCTTTATAACTGTAAAAGTAAATATGGGAACAGACTGTATTTGATGGCACCTCCATCGCTGCTTTTAAAGAGCAAGTTAGCAGGCATCGGGAATATAAGTTAGCTTTTGGTATCTTCTTGCATCAAGCCAGGATCAACTTAAATGATTTCTGAGGACAGTTTTAGACCTATATCCTACATTTTTTTTTAATACTGCATTTGCAATAATGCTGCGTAGTTCAAGACACGATTCTTTTAACTTCCTGAAGCAGCAATGTTACCTGTAGTGCAATGGCAAGCGCTTATATATGGTCTTCATTAGAGTCAGCTTGCAGTATTTATTTCCAGGTCTATCATCCTTTGTATTTTTCCTGTGACCACCTTTGTTTCTGGTCATGAAGTTTGTTATTTAAACAACTTAAAGTGGAAAGTAACTTTGTAATGCTCAAACTGTATAGTTTCCGTAGCTTACTGGGTGAGCTTTCGGTAATATGGCAACAGTGGAAAAGATAAGGTAGAGACTGACAATCCAGATAAGAAAGTGATTAAAATCATAATAACTAGCCTGCGCTACTGGAATGCTTACTGCTGATGGAGAGGAGTCATGCTGGAATCTTTCAGACAATGTTTACCATGGCATAGGTCTACAGGATGACCTGCTTTACAAAATTACTTAATTGCTGACAGTTCTTGAAGCGTGTAGAAAAGTAGTTCATGACTTGCACAGCTGTAATGAAGACTTTTAACCATTGTAAGCACAAGTCTGAAAAGGACAGCTAACTAACTTTCAAACTCTGCATTTATTTCATGAGAATGCAATGTGTAATATACTGATTGGTATTTATCCCTGTTTATTTTACTATTCTTTTGCAATCAAATTTAATGATTTTATATTTACAGTTGCTGCTATTTAAGTCGAAGATTAAATCAGCTATCAAGCCATGATCCGTTGTGGAAAAGACAATGCAAGAAATACTGGCTTATTTCAGAGTAAGTGGTGTTGTTTTAAGCCTTTTTTCTGTGAAAATGAGTCTTATGTTATTGTGCTGTCTGTTTATGTCCACATTACTTCTAGTAACTCTAAGACTGAATTGGTATTTACCAGTTTCAAACTGATGAAAGGTTAGAGGTATCAAAAATGTTAATTTCCTAAAAAAGTTTCATGAATATACAAGTGTTAAAAAGTTTTATGGATGAGTAGAGAAGAGGTGCCCTGTTAATGCCTGCATGGGTAGAGAAGAGGTGCCCTGTTAATGCCTAGGCTGAAGGAGAAGCTGCAGCTTGGCCTTATCGGACACCAGATATTCTGCGGAGGAAAGTAACATTCTGAGTGCTGTAATTATGAGGGGTACAACTGGATGGTTGTGTCAATGGTAGCCATGATTGGAATCACAGAATAATTGAGGTTGGCAGGGACCTTTTGAGATCCTGTAGTCCAGCTCCCCTCCTCACACAGGGTCACTTAGAGCAGGCTGTCCAGGACCGTGTCCAGTGTCCTGTCAGTGGGCACTGCTGAGAACAGTCTGTCTCCGTCTTTAGTCCTTCCCATCAGGTAGTTGTAGGCATTGATAAGATCCCCCTGAGCCTTCTCCAGGCAGAAGAGTTCCAGTTCTCTCAGCCCCTCCTCATGTGGAAGATGCTCCAGTCCCATAATAATCTTTGAGGCCCTGCACTGGATTTGTTCCAGTACGCCCGTATCCTTCTTGTAATGGGAAGCCTAGGACTGGACACAGTACTCAGATGTGGCCTCACCGGTGCTGACTAGAGAGGAGGGATCACCTCCCTTGACCTGCTGGCAACACTCTTCCTGTTGGGGCTTAGGATACTGTTGGTCTCTTTTGCTGCGAGGGTGCGTTGCTGGCTCATCATCAGCGTGGTGTCTACCGAGACCCCCAGGTTCTTCTCGGCAGAGCTGCTTTCCAGCTGGGTGGCCCCCAGTGTGTACTGGTGTCTGAGGTTATTCCTCCCCAGGTGCAGGATTTTGCATTTCCTCTTGCTGAATATGAGATTCTTCTCTGCCTGTTGAGGTCTCTTTGAATGGCTACAAAACCATCTGCCATATAAACTACTCCTCACAGTTCTGTAGCATCTGCAAACTTGCAGAGCGTGTACTCTGTCCCATCATCTGTGTCATTAATGAAGATATTAAATAGTATTGGCCCCAGTAAGCCACCACAAGTGACTTTCCTCCAACTGATCATCCTTTGGATCCTGAACATCCTCAGCCTGGTTGTTCAGCCAATTTTCAGTCCACCTCACTATCTACTTATGAAACACATACTTTGTCAGCTTACTATGATGATATTAACAGAGACAGTGTTGAAGGCTTCACTAAATTAAAGATGAACAACATCTGCTGCTCTCCCCTTGTCCATCAAGCGAGTCACCTCATTGTAGAAGGCTATCAGGTTGGTCAAGCATTGTTTCATAAATCTGTGCTGACTGCTCCTGATCACCTTCTTGTTTTTCATGTGTTTGGAAATGCTTCCCAGGAGGATTTTCTCCATCATTTTCCCAGGGAAGTCACCTTGGGCTGTGTAAAAAGTTTTACACATGTGGTTCTTGAGGTGGTGGTGTGTGTGGTTTTTGTTTTTGGTTTTTTTTTTTTTAAAGTTCACTTTCTATTCTTGCTTGTATTGAACTCAGGATGCCTGTTAAGTGGAAGCTAGCTTCCACTTAATATAAAGGTATCAATCCACATCTTTGCTAAAAAAGCATGTTTTTCTCAAGAGCTGAGAAAGCTAGTGGAGTTGACTGAAGTGAATTAGCAACCTGTTTTGTTACTACTTATCCCCTCTTTGTGTCCTGTTTACCGGACAGTATCTTTTTTTTAGATTGTAAATTGTGAGACTTAGTAACTACTTATGACTTCAGTGATCAGTTCCATATGTTTTTTTCTGTTATTCAGGTGGTCCTTGTATTACACCAATAGCCTAAGATGGGGGAGCAGCTAATGATAAGGAGTTAATACATTATGCATAAGTGGGTGGAGGGGCTAATTTAGGAAAACATTTCCAAACTTATAGTTTGTAATCTGTATTATATCATATGGACTGTGTTAAAAATTAACAGCAAGTAAAGTTGAATCCACAAAGATAAATATACCATGCATATTCTAATTATATGCAGCTTATGAAGATGCAACACAACTTGTAAAATTTTGCCTTGAGATTCTCTGCATAAAAATCCTAAGCGATATTCTTACTAGAATCCAGGCTAGGAAGGAAAATCTGGTTGGGGGCAGGGAAGGAAGGTAAGGAAATGGGAAGTGCAAACTGAGTACCTCATGCTTTAGAAGAGGAACTTGGTGTGTGTATGGGGGAAGTTGAGGGCATTATGGGGCTTTACTAAGGAGAATTGGCTCTGGGGTTGGTTTCTGAGATGCTGGCTTCTCCATAGCCAAGAAAAACTGAATAATGAAGGCTGTAGGTAATTTCTACAAATAACATTTGGAGGGTGAAAATGCGCTGAAACCTCTCTCGCCCGCTGAGACATAATTCACTTCAGGTTTTTTTTCTTTTACCTCCTTGGTTTGACATTAGTTTGTCTAACTTCCCAGAATAAACTTAATCTACTTCCCCCCCGCCCCCAACCCTTCTTCAAGAAGTAAGCTGCTTCTCGCCTTTTTAGAGCTGAAGAGAACTTAAAGGTGATGTCAAGATTTCTCATTTGTTACATTTTCATTTAGGTGTATGAAGCTGTACTAAGTCTTTTAGATTCAGCATGCTGATTGGAGTTTGAGGAGTTGGAATATATCCTAACACAAAGATGCAAGGGCTGCTACAGTTTGGAGGCAAGCGTCCTTCTTCAGATGTTAGTCAGCACTTTTTGGGCAGCCTGTCTTCCCATAGCCTGCTGTTGTGCCTGTGAGGAGAACTGAATATACAGTAATTCCTTAAGAACCTGACTTCCCACTTAAGAACTTTAAGTGCACAGAGTTCTCATTTAACTCTCTGGTTTACTCCTTAATCCTTCTTATTGGGTAAATAAAGGAGTTTGTGACTAATGCAGTAGATCAAAAAATGTGATTTTTTTTTTTTTTTTTTTTTGAAGGCCTTCTCTGTATATGTGTGAAATGTGATCTCAATTAACTATTCACTGGTTCTAAGATTTAATAATAGACAGCACTCTGTTTAAAGGAACACTGTTTCTAAATTTTCCTCTAACTACCCCAAGTGTTTCCTAATTCTGTTCCAAGTTGCTATTGAATAGATGCTGGAATTAATTGAGTTTGTGTAGCTTCATGTGGCTCAAAGTGTTCCTGGCTTAATATTATGCATAGTGTTTCTGTTAAATAACAAATATTCACTTTGTGGTTTTAGAAGTCAAGCTTTTTAGGCTGGTATTTGAACTTACTTTCTTCATGTCCACTTAGAGAGGAAAAAAGTCAACGAAATCAGAGCTGGAAAGCCATCTTCATCAGTACCTACTCTGACCTAGGAAGATACATCCGGTACTATGCTACATTGAAAAAAGCCTGGGATGACCTAGAGAAATACTTAGGACAGCGGTGTCCTCGGATGATTGGGTCTTTGAAAGGTATGGTGTAATACCTACTTTCTCTAGTAGGTTGGCTGACGTAACGTTGTCTGCTCTTAAGCTTCATACTGCTTTCATCCTAGGTGTGTGCCTCAATTACTGGAGTCCTGAAAGTCAAGTAGATGTGCTTTCCTTTCCCCCTCCAGTAAAAAAGTAAATCGGATCACATGTATAGTCCTTGCCCAGTTATTAGTGATCCATAGATTCTCTGAAGATTTCTTTTCAGAGAAGAAATCAAGGTTTTTTTTTCTAGTGACCAGTCTATCTTCTTTATCTCTGGATAATCAAGAAATGAATGCACTTTCACTGCTTTTGTCTTTGGTTGCTAAGACTGATTTTTTTTTTTTCCTGTTTCTTTATTATTATTTTTTAGTTTAATAATCCTATTACTTCAAGGACCTGGGGCCTGTTGGTGTAATTTTATGTGTGAGATTTTCTTAAGACCTAATTAAAACACTTTCACATGAAAACAGGAATTTTAAACTAAAGCCAAACAAAAAGGAAGTATTTCTTCTCTTTTCTGTAGGTCTTACTGTGTTCCTCTAATGAAGGTAAATTAGTGGCTGAACAAGAATTTTTACTTCTCTTTTTTTTTTTTTTTGTCCTTTTCCTCAAGATTCTGTTTTCAAATTAATTTTGTGTTTTAATACTTGAAGTACTTCCAGTCTTCTGGTTCATAAATCTTACATAGCAAGACATACAGCAAGTTTGGGCTTTTCTGAGACAGGGACAAAATAGCTCTTACATTTTCAACTGTACTTCAGTCTTCTGTATGAAATTGACTGTTTGACCAAGATGTTTGGTTTAATATGATCTGTGAAATTTAGAGAAATCTATAGACAATAATCTCTTTTCTGTGTAAATCTTGCATGTTTCTTGGCTTGCTGGATAGTGCTGGATTCTTAAGTTTTGCTAAGTATTTGTGAATAACAGAACATGGTTAGAACTCAATACTTACTGTTTTCTTTAAAAATTTTTTGGTTTGTTACTTCTGAGTGTTAGTGAATGAATGCCTTTCTAGCAAAAGGCCAAAAGGGTTATATGTAGCCTAAACTCTTGTGTAACACAGGCCATAGTACTTGATGGAGATATCTGTGCCTTGATTTCTGTAACTTTCGTGCTGCTCTATCAAAAACACAGACTTCACTCAGGTATACAGAACCACTGAACTGTCAGTCAAATACTTTGTTAATCAAATGGAAAGTATCTGTGTTGAAAGTATTGAAATGAACAGATTTTACCAGAGTTCTACTTTCAAAATCCTCCCAAGAAATTTGGTGCAATGAAGCTTCTCTTTGTCTGCAGAAAGACAAAAAAAAAATTAAAATTATCAATTTCCACACTTGTATAGTGATGGCAGGTTTTAACAGGAGCTCTTCCATAACTTAGACCTTTTTAATACCATTTCTACAAGATCTAGTTTCAATGAATTGTCAAATTATGCCCTATAAATGAAACTGATAATGAATATTAAAAGAGTTTAAAAAAAAAAATCACCCAAAAAACCTTGATTGGAATAGATACATAGGCCACCCAGTTGATCTTTGGTAGAAGTGAGGGTGTGGAAACCCCCTGAAGTGCGTGTGGAGGTATACGAAAATCACCTTATTACAACTTATTTATTGCTTCAAATTCCAGGTGAGTGGTAGCTGCAGCCAACATTTCTTTGTTACTGATTGGACTGGAAACTGAAAGAAGCAACCTTTAGAATGGTGAAAGAGTAAAATCAATATTGCCCAAAAGTTTTAACTGGGACTCAGTCAGCTAATGACAACATTGGGGGAAAAAGGTTCATTTCACTTTATGAATACTTTCTGTTTAAGTCAGGCCTGTTGAGATTTCGCTGGGTGGAGATTGGTGCTGTATTAAGTAATCAGTTAATGTAGTCGGCTTCCTTTCAAATTTATGTAGCGTTCGTTCTGTGCCACCTAGCATACAAATAGGTCACCAGATACTGGCTTGAGTCCGTGTTCATTTGATCAAGGCACTTACAAATTCCACACTTTGTATTTGAAATACTTGATTTTTAGTGATTCTGGCTACTAGCACGAATTTAGTCAGTGGAAGATTTTTGAGACCATGCTAGTAGACAGCTGTGTCCCAAAGTTGGACTGAATTTATCTTGGTTTTGTATTTCTGTTAGTTCACTTTCTCTGAATTATAAGTGGCAAAATACTTTGAAATGTATATTCCTTTTGTGATAACATAAAAAAAAAAAATCCATAATGCTAAGGTTGCTGGAGCTACTTAAACCCTTGGGCCATTGAAAACATGCTGTTATGTCTAGAATGTAGCTAGTTTTTGCCTTATTTCTAGCCACGCAGCTCTGATGAAATGATGTGAAATAAGATTTTAAAGAAAAGGTCTTAACACAAATTCTAATACTCACCTTTGTCAGGAACAGCATACTGGGCACTTGGGGACAGAATAGTGAAGCAGCATTAAATTTGAGAGTTTCCTACGAGCAGCAGTTCTTGATTTCCCCCTCCAAAACTGCCACTTAATACTGTTTCTTTTTGTACACAGAGAGTGTGCGGGAGGAAGATCTAGATGCTGTGGAAGCACAAATAGGTTGCAAACTCCCTGATGACTATCGATGTTCATTTCGTATTCATAACGGACAGAAGCTAGTTGTTCCTGGGTAAGGAGCAAAAACTACGTACCAAGTTATTGATTCCTTTTGTATTTCCTGGAGAGTTTATTTATTAAAAAGATAAAATGTCTGCTGAACAGGATAGATGGAGCATTTAAATGTATTGTAACTGAGTGACTGCTTGAATTGACGCTTCTAGAATTGTCTGTCTTCTAGTCTCAGAAGTAACTGAAAACACAGTGTAGGTTTCTGATTGCTCAAATTACTCTTACACTTCAATCCTTTTTCCTAGTGAGAGCTTTTTTCTTTTTTTTTGTAATAAATAAAACTTCCAATTGGTAGACTTTTAATCACACCACTGCAAGTTGCTCCCCTGAAGTTTTGCTTTCTATTACATAAGTGAATTAGCCTCCTGGACTCTACAGGTTTCATTATTTAATAACTTTTTTCTTTAAAATGGTTGGGGAATAACTTTAAAACCAGGTAGTCCTTTTAAGTAGAATCAAAATGTCAGTTCTGCAAATCAAGTTTTCTTAGTAGAAGATTTTACAATTTTATGCAGTTTCAGCAATTAAAAATCTCCTTTTACGTCAAGGTTAGAAGGCAGATGACTAAACATAGTTTCCTATCTTCCAGCTATAGAAGAAGTTGGCAGGTGAGCGCTTGAAGTGCCGCAAACATTAGCAAAAGATGGAAAACTAGGGCAAATCATTGCAGTGGCTGTAGGGGCAATGCATTCAGCGTTGCTCTACCAAAACCTTCACTAGTAAAGAAGGTGCAGGTTCCTCCAATTCTAGTCTTGTATGTACGGAAAACAGTTTTATGCAACCATAATGATGACTTCTAATTCTGTTTCTTTTCCAGGAGAGACTTTTTTTAGAGAGGAGATAGGTGCTCTAGTTCTGTAGACTTCAAATGGAGCTCTGCAGCTTGTGCGCTTCCTGCTCTTCCCACTACTTTTTCACTCCCACGCAGCCTGTACTGTGATGACGTGCCTGTGGAAGGGCTGTAGGAGCAGACGTGTGCCTTTGGGCATGCCTTTCAGCCCGAGCAACTGCCAGTGGGCTGTGGTCCGATGCTGCGCCCTGAAAGCGAGGGCCTGAGCCTTACGCGCAGGTTGACAAACCTTGTTGGCGGAGCACTGACTGGGGGACTAGTTAGGTCTGACGTGGGACCCCGGAGCAAGAAAGGCTGCCGCACTGCGAGTGGAAGGTGTGGCATTACTGCTGGGGACAGGCTTGCTTTCTCGTGGGAGGTGAATACTGGAAAGATCAGGTGTAGGTCGTGGAAGTCTATGCAGCAAGTTGTTGGCATCTTAGGCCAAAAATGGAGGAGGTTCAGGACTAGTTGCCATTGTTAGATGCTTCAGGTTTCTGTGTTTGGATGTTAGCATCGCTTTTTAAACTGTAGAACGTGCTAATTCCAGGCAAGGCTATGTAAGGAAAAAGAGGAGTGGAACCTGTTGCTTAGCGCGGGAGCAGCTTATATCATGCTGACATGTGGCAGCTTGCGCCTGAGTCACTGCTTTCATAACACCAGTAAAAGCTTAGCAGATGCAAGAGTTTACACCTGAGAACATAAGTGAAAGGCAAATTAGAAGGGAGTATGGGTGGGAAGGCATGCGTTACAGGTTTGTGTGCTCCTATTGCTCAGCGCACTGCTGTAGTGTGTGCCCTTGTAGTTGATTACTTTGATCATGTTATCCCTTTTTATCATTCGTCCATTGTCTGCCCCTTTATTACACTGAGTGTAGGTTGCTTGTTTGTTTTTATTTTCACCCTAGTTCTCATCTAGCCCAACGTTCATATCAAGTTAACTTTAGCTTCCAATGCTCACCTCCATTCCTAATCTGTTGCATATTTCAGATTAGCACAACTTTTTTCCAAATGTGTATATTCTTTTCTTATGTATAGAGAGGCTCCTTTTACTGTCTCCAACGTCACTTCCTTATTGTCAAAAACAAAGAAATAAAAAATCCCATCCTTTGCTGTGATGCTTACAAAAAGCTAAAGGAAAAAATTTAGAAGACATTTGATGGTCTTGCTGTGTCATGCTGATGAATATTGCCTCATTCTTTCCTTGGATGTCTGTCTGCTTGTGTCTGTCTGCCTTAGTTTTTATACTGAGATTATAATCTCTCTGACTGAATCATTATTTTCCTTGTTTACTTCTCAACCTTTTCTCCAAAGCATAGAGCACCTTGCTCACTGTAGTTTTGATCAATGACTGTTACTATAGCAGCTTGGTATTCCAATTGAAAAGTCCTGGATGCTTCGGTAATATTGAAATGAACTTGCAAAAAACTTGAGATGCGGAGCACTGGTTATTATTATATTATGTTACTATAGGAAGTTGCATCACTTGTGAATGGCTTCTTTGAAGTAGTTGCAGACACGATGGGAATTGCCAACACAGTTTAAAACGGTGCTTTGGGATGCAGAGGACATACAAAGAAGTGTTTACCTTAGAGCCATCAAGCTTCCCTTTGTGAAGGTTGATGCTGTGAGTTAATAACCTAGTTCAGTACCTGGGTATTAGAGTTGGACTTCATCTAGGTCTAACAGGCATCTAGAGCACTGATGGAGTCAATGCTTAGAAAAGATTGAAAATTGTCTTTGCCTTGTGAGTGGTATCTTCTGTTTATCTTTCCTTTTTTTGTTGTCTGTTAAGTTTGATGGGAAGCATGGCACTGTCGAACCACTACCGCTCTGAAGACTTGTTGGATATCGACACAGCGGCTGGAGGTTTTCAGCAGAGGCTAGGTCTGAAACAATGCCTTCCTCTTACTTTTTGCATTCATACTGGCCTGAGTCAATACATGGCCCTGGAGAGCGTGGAGGGACGAAATAAATACGAGATCTTCTATCAATGTCCAGTAAGGAAGATATGTTTATACTTGTGAATGTACTTTTCTAATGATTGCTGGTGTCCCTTTGCATGTTATCAGATACCTGAAATATTTTACATAGCATAAAGTAAATACTAAGAGATCATATTAGTTTATTACTTGCCCCGAGTTGCCATCTGGTTTTCATCAAAGCCCAGAAGTGGAATGGTTAGAAAGTGAAAGCAATTTACATGAAGTTGTTAATGGCTGTAGCAATTTCTGTAGGTTCATGAGAGTGGACAACATTCATCCTTATTGGAAGGTATTCGTTTAATCTGTTCAAACTATGGCAGGTATATATTCTTGTCCCTGTTTCTGTAAGAAGGAAAAGCTTCTCCATTGTGGAAGAGCAGCACCTGTATATGTCTCCTCCCCCAGTATGTTAAATGTAACCTTACTACAGTAAATGGTACCCTCTGGTTTGTAAGCAAAACTTACTCTGCAGTGAAAGAACAAATTGCTCTCAAACAGCTCCTTTGTAGAACATTATTAAGTATTTTCCACAATTCTTACAGCTGTAGTATTTTAAGATAGGCATATTGTTGCTAGTGAAGCTTATGGGTGTTATACCTAATAAGATTTTAGTCCTCTCCTTACCCATGCCCTGACAACCTCCCCACTCCAAAAAGAAAGCAGGGCGAGTAGAGGGTGTTTCCTGTAAAAAAGATGGGGCTCTTCATCTTGCTGTGGAGTTCCTGGATGTTTGTTTTCAAAGCACGTAGCAATGAGATATCTAGGGAATGCCTTGATAATGGATCACTTGAAGGATGTTAAGATCCCCCTTTGTATTATGCCGAGTATTTAAACCTTCTGGATAATGCTTGGGAACTTGGAAGGTTACTTACACACTTATATTTTGCTGCTTGTTTCAGGGGAGAATATGGTAGTGCAGGAGCTGGGATTGTTTAGCCTGGAGAAAAGAAGGCTCAGGGGAATCTTATCAATGTTTATAAATACCTGGTAGCAGGGCAAAAAGAAGTCAGAGCTAGACTCTTCTCAGTGATGCCTGCCCAGTGACAGAAGAAGAGGCAGCGAGCACAAGTCGAAACACGGGAAACTTCATCTGAACGTACACAAAAATGTTTTTACTGTGGGTGTGGTTGAACACTGGAACAAGTTATGCAGAGAGGTTGTGTAGTCGCTGTCCTTGGAGAGAGTCAAAACCCAGCTGAACACGATCCTGGGCAACCTGCTGTAGCTGGCCCTGCCTCAGGCTGAGGGATTGGACTGGTGATCTCCAGAGGTCTCTTCCAAGCTCAGCTGTTCTGTGCTTCTGTTCTAAGGCAGTATTTTTGGGGGCCGTGTTCCTTGAATGATGCATTAAATCTGATTTGGTATGCATGAGCCTTAGCTGAATGTTCAAGCTGTATATTCAGTGATCACATGAGCACTCATGGGGACAGGCATGTGTGTTTTATATATTTGAATATCTGACTGGGAGTATAATGATGTATTAAGCAACCAGATTTTAGGTTTAGTGAATATAGGGAAGGTGTTCCCTATGTTATATTTCAGGTGCTGAATTTTAACCTTGGAAGTCTAATGCTCTCCTAATACATCCATAACCTTCTTTCCCTTTTAGGACCAAATGGCTCGCAATCCATCTGCTATTGATATGTTCATTACAGGTAACACTTTAGATAAAATATTCTGCAAAATGTTTTAATTGCACTGTTCAGAAAATGCATGGCAGTATGTCTTGAACAAAGCAAACGTTCCAAATTTTCTGTGCTACTCATAAGACACTAACCTACTTTAAAACATCTGCGGTCACTTGAAAAGAGATGCAAGTTTTCTGTATTAAAGCTTGTCCTTCTGTGTGTCTTGTATACAGATCATTCAGTGTACTAACCTGTCTAACAAGATGAGCAAAACCTTTAAGTTAGCCCTCATGAGCGTGATGTAAGCTGTTACTAAACACAACACCCAAGTGGACAGAAAGATTTTTTTTTTTAACCCCCAGTAGTTTTTGCAGCCATGTTAGAAGTTGAAAATATTTTGCATCCCTTTATGAAATCTAATTGACTATAAACATAGCTGCAGAAGAAAACCTTTCTGGCTTTTTTATTTGCCTGATTGCTTCGTTCAAAGAATAAAGGAGGGAAGGGGGAAACTGCGTAACTGTTGTTTGGTTATGTAGTAATCTGTCGTGATCATCTGTCTGACACGTACATTCACTGGAATAGTCTTTTGATTATTTCTTTTTGTTAATCCACTGGAATCTGGTAATTGTGGCTATGTCTAAATTAATTCCTTTCACTCAATGGGAAAGCGGATGTGTAATAAATAGCACCAAAATTAATATTAAAATTCAGCCTTGCATATTTCTTAGGGAATATGTATTAAGATTACAGTGAGAAACCATGTTAGGCAATGCTATGCCATTAGTGGTTTGGATTGAAGGTAGTCAAACTCTTAGCCATGGTAATTTTAGGAAATCTTTCTATGTACTGATTGACTGTATGAACTGATTTCAGTGTGAAGTAGTCAGCCTGATATCTGTTTTACAAAGGTCATTGCGAATGCACTGTGTGCTTTAGAAACATCATAGGAAAGATACAGCAAAAGCTCAAGAGTTTGGTTACTTGTCTCCACCTGAGGATGATGGAATGCTTTAAAGCTACTCTATGGTGCATTGGTATTGCTGCTCAAGGTTGCCGCTTTTATGGAATTGAGCCAATGGTGAGGTGGTCTGACATCATATTTAAATGTATTCCACTTGGCTGAAAGGGTTAATCTTGGCTTATTGTAGGGTGGAGGGGAAGTTTCATAGTCAGCATTTATCTTGTCATTTTCAAAGTGCAGGGTAAATTGGTCCACTTGCTCCATTCGGAGTTACTTTATACAAGGTTTGCATTTTGTGGATTAGTGGTAGAAAGGAGAATAATAAACTTGGGGTTCCTCAGACTTCCAAAAGATCAAAGGACAGTACACATAGCTCTTGCTCAAAGGAAGAAGCGGTAAGTACACTTAATCTAACAGGAGTGGTAGTACTTGATAACACGTCAGTGAAGACGAGGATAATGCTTTCTTAGTATTTCAGCTTAAATCCAGTTTTGTATCAGTAATATTGACAAATAGCTGAAGTACTCTGTACTTTTCTATTGAACTCCATATTGCAATGCCTGGAAGATTTATGGCTGAGAAATTCTTGTATAGAGAGCCGGTATCTCTTGTATGAAAGTCTCTTCTTCGAGAGTTAAATGTGACAGCTTGACTGCCTACTTAGCAATCAAGCTGTTCCTAAATAATAGCTGTAGGTGTATGAAAAGCTGTTCTCAGACAATGGCTGTAGGTGTATGAAAAAACCAAGTTCTTTGGAATGACATACAGCTTTAGTCTTCGGGGGTTTTTAGCAGGAGTGTGGAGTATGTCTGTGACTGATCCCTGTTTTAAAGGAGAGGGAAATTCTGCAACTTGCTAGCATGTTTCTTAGAAACTCAGTTATATGGAAACCTGCATATCAAAACAAAGTCCATAAATCCACCAGTGGGCTTGCATGGCTCTTGTAGACTAGTTGGAAATAGCTGTATAAGTAGTATAGGCAACTGTACTTGTCGTCTTTCCCAGTCATAGCAGAAGTCATGAGTAGGAAACGAGATGGTGAGAGACACCAGCATTTGAAGACCATGATTATAAAGTAAAATACTTAACTAAGAGTTTCTTTGTTTGCTGTGTCATTTCTGGAGTATGCATCCTTAACTCTCAGTTCTTGTTTGGTTTCTCAAAATGATCTTTGTTGGTAGAATGGACTGGAATATTGACTGACTCATCTAAGTAAGTCTGAGAGTTTATTATAAAAATATTCAAAGCTTTAAACTGTTTCCTTGAAGTGTTTATCGTAATGTGCTTAGTGGTAAATTTGCCTGCCCTTTTGAATACTTTTCTTCTTTGGCATCTAGGTACATCTTACTTGGAATGGTTTACATCCTATGTAAACAAAGTTGTAACTGGTGGTTATCCTATCATCAGAGACCAGATTTTCAGGTATTGTGACTGGAATTTATAACCTCACTGCAAGGTTGTGATGCTTCTTTTACAATGCTGACCTCTTTTCAAGTAGTTATGGGTATCTGATAAAAAAGCTGATGGCAGAAAGAGGAGAAAGGATGTGAAACTTATTGCAGATAAAGCTGTAAAACAGAATGCTTAAAGAAACTTTTTTTTTTTTTTTACCAGAAGCTTTGGAGTTTGTAACTTTGCATTAACGGGGCTGGAATTTTGCACTATATATGTAACTGATCTGAAGCATAGCTAACAGCATAATATTTATTCTGCTTGCCATTGCTGTGCTGCTGCTGCAGGACTGTGCTGAGTTATTAAAAAAGCAATTGTTTCAGTGAACTGGTCTCTACAATAACACTGTTGAATATGTAAATAAACAGGACTTTTCTGTGCTTGAATCTTCATGCACTTTTCTTCTAAATCATAGAATCATAGAATAGAATTGTTTAGGTTGGAAAAGACCTTTAGGATCATCAAGTCCAACCACTGACCTAACACTACCAAGTCCACCACTAAACCAGTTAAGGGGAGAGTAATAATTAATTTCATGTTTCCTGGCTTGGTGGCTGGATTACTTTTTAATGAAAGTAAAACTAGGAATCATTAATGTTGGAAAGGACCTCTAAGATCATCAGTCCAACCATCAACCCAACACCACCATGTCTACTAAACCATGGCCCAAAGTGCCACATCTACCCTTTTTTTGAACACCTCCAGGGATGGGGACCACCAGCTCTCTGTGCAGCCTGTTCCAGTGCTTGACCACTCTTTCAGTAAAGAAATTTTTCCTAATATCCAATCTAAACCTCCCCTAACGCAACTTGAGTCCATTTCCTCTTGTCCTATCCTAAATATAAGCCTTAATTCTGTCAAACTGAGATGTTATAGGACCAAGTTCCTGATCTGTAAATTAATTTGCTGTAGGAGTTGCTAGTTTTTGTTTTTTAAATAGCATAATGACACATCCTTATTAAACAAGTGTGCCTTCATTGACTTCAGATCAAATTATACACCCAGCTTAATACAAGCATTAATGGAGGTACAGAGAGATCTGTAGATGTATGAGTTTGGGTGATGGGGAAGTATACATTGTGAAGGCACTGCACACATCCTTTATTTAAATGCCAAATGGCACGTTAAAAATTACTTTTAACCTAGCACCACGGTGCTCTTGTAACATGATTACTTAATTACTACTGTGTTTAGCTTTCTGTATTGACTGTACAGAGCTATTTGCAGAGTAAATGTTTTCCTTTCTGTAGGTATGTGCATGATAAAGAATGTGTTGCTACCACAGGAGATATTACTGTTTCTGTGTCCACGTCTTTTCTACCTGAACTCAGTTCTGTGCATCCGCCACATTATTTCTTCACTTACAGAATCAGGTAAAAATGACAGCTGAATTAACTCTTACAACACAGGAAAGACCTATGTAATATTCAAAGGATCAATTGTTGCAAACTTATGCACAGCATTTGTAAACATACTAAAATGAATAGGATGTGCTCAACATGCTGTTCTTTTTAATAAAAAAATACTGAATCATTACCTGGTCAGGTACACAGAGTACCAGTCAAGTTGATAATTGGTAAAGTACAGCGATGGGTGGGGGAAGGAAGTTACGAGTAACTCTTGTGATTTAGAAAGGGGTAAATAACAATAGGTAGTGAAGCAGATGCATGGAGATGGATCCCAACAACTGATTTGGTATACTTTACCTTAGGGGTTTTTTTTTTTTGCCCAGTCTACCTGGAGAGAGATCCCAAGGATACTAAAGCATTTCTTAAAATGTATGAAAGTAGTTTACATAACCATTAAGTCTGCTGTTTGGCTTCTAGAATTGAAATGTCCAAAGATGCTCTTCCTGAGAAGGCCTGTCAGCTGGACAGTCGATACTGGAAAATAACAAATGCCAAAGGTGATGTAGAAGAAGTTCAGGGTCCTGGAGTAGTTGGTAAGTAAAAGATTGCTTTTACAAACCCAACAGAGAGAGTCTTTTTGTATCTCATGTACCTGTTACGAAAGTTACGTTATTAGCCATTCATCGTGGTGACAGAGGGTAGCAGTTGTATGGGTTGTAGCGAAATCATTTTGTCGCTTGAATGAAAGAGATGTGTATCCATCTGCTTTGTCTCTAAAATTGTTTTGCAAGGGATGGCTGAACATCTTGATAGTTAAATGCTCTTCAGACAGTTGTTTTTTTTTTAACATTGATAGTTGCTGAGAATCATTTATGCATCCACTGGAATAGAAAATTACCTGCCTGAATATGTTCTGGAGTACAAGTGCTTTAGCAAATTGCTACACTGTAGTTCTACTTCAGTCCTTACTATTGTGATCTAATATTTTACCAACAGGGGAGTTTCCAATTATCAGTCCAGGGAGAGTCTATGAATATACCAGCTGTACTACATTTTCCACAACATCTGGATATATGGAGGGGCATTACACCTTCCATTGCCTCTACTACAAGGAAAAATTCTTTAATGTCACAATTCCCAGATTTCATATGGTGTGTCCAACATTCAAGGTGTCTACGGCGCGAATGGTAAGCAGAGATGCAGTCGTGCTTGTGCTAGTTTTTTTTCCTCTGACCTCCTGTTTTCAGAGAACACTTGGATTAATTTTAATAGGACAGTGTAACTGTGTGTTTAAGCTCCAGTGTCATGTCATATGGTTGGACTGGGTGATCTTTTCCAACCTAAACGATTCTATGATTCTATATCACTTTTCAGTTTTGATTCTTTTCTTGAAAATTGCTCTCTTTTTCAGAACTTTCTCAAAAAAAAAAAAAAAAAGAAAAAAGAAGTCTAAAAGTATCAGTCTGTCTGAGACTTTGGCAGTTTCCCATTATATGAATTGTTTTCAGCTTCTGGAATGTTTATCGATAAGAAAACACTTCTGGAATGTTTGTTGATAAGAAAACACTTCTGGTGCAAAAATTACAGTACTGAATAGTATTCAGATTGGTAACTCCATACAAAACATGGTCCAATTAAGACTACGTCTAGCAACTGTAGTAACCTTTGTAGGCAGTTTGTGCATTGGTAAAGCCATGTGTCCTTATTGCTTTGGCATGTAACGCAGCCGTTTCATTCGAGACCCTCAGCCCTAGCTTTCATAGGATGCCATAGTACATGGCTATGGGTCTTCCTCCTCAAGTCCTCACCTCTGTCTGGTATCAAGGTCAAACCTGGTTGCACTGGTGAGATCAGGGGCCCTGTGGGTTCTTGACAAAGGTAGAATGTGACCATTCTGTTGTCCTGTGTCTGACCACAAATGCCCCTTGGGATGCACAGACATACATGTGTGTACGTATGTCTATTCAGGGCATATTTCAGAGGTATATCTGATTATGCAGAGTACAGCAGTGCTGAGTTTTGCTTGTTTTGTTCTAAGGAGCCATCTTATTTCTGAATTTGTACCTAGAAGCATGGCATGGCATTGCATTAGCTGTTTGGATTTCAAAGGTCTTTTAAATATTCCATCTTGGTATGACCACACTGTTGTCTGTTTTAGCCATAATAGCATATCTACTTTCTTCAACAAGAAAAGTTTCAGTTAATGACACTTTAAAAATGATAGCGGTCCGTCTGATGTTCATTAGTCCTCACTGAACGTGCATTCCATAAAGTTACTTAATGACTTCAGAAATCAGTACGATATTTAGCTTACTATTAATTAGAATGTAGTTTTAGTTTGGAGGCTGCAGGTGAGTTGTATTATTTCTCCTTTTGCTTTGGCATATTTCAAGAAGAATGCTTTATTTATTTTATTGCTGGCATAGCCCTTATTTAGTGACTAATTCGGATAGAACTTGAAAATTTTTGTGCGAGCATCGAGTCTTTCCTCTGGAGCAGACATCTACTTGGACACTTTCTCACGTTTTTCAAGGGATTTGAGTCACTCTCGTTGGCAGTAGCTCTAACAGTAAGTGCCAGCAGATGTCGTGCTTCTAACAGAAAATGGCATCTCTTAACTCTTGCTCACGTTTATGGGAGTTGTCACCTTCTTCTGTTCAGTTGACTGTAAAAATAATTGCTTTCTCTTTTGCTCTACCTGTGTTTTAGAGGTAGTAATGACCCTTTGGTTTTAAACTACTTTTGTTAAAAGACAACATAAGCCACCAAGAAAATGGGTACAGCGAAGATACTGAATTGTGGCTTTACATACGTATGAAATAATGAAGGCTAATGGATATTTACTGAGTTAAAGGTTAAGTAGTTTGGCAAAATCATCTCTACTGCAAATTAAACTTTGTAATTGTAAGGAGCTGGTTTTAGGGCGTGGAGCACAATGTCTGGTTCGGCTAATTGATGCAATAATGCAGACTTCAGATTTTTCTAGGCAACTGTTAGTGCTTTCTTGTAACTAGCTGGAATAGAAGTTTTTAATTAAATATGGATGTGTTTTGTATTAGGAAACAAATCATAATGAATATGCAGTGGATGAAGACGAAGATTCCACAGACACTGATGACTATGAAGATCGACGTAGAGTGTTGGACATTTCTGCACCTTCTGGACAGTGCCCACGTCATACCTGATGGGATTTTTTTCCAAACAAAATAAACTGTTTTCAGAAGCTGAACTCTTTGGGGCTAGTGCATAAGAGTATTTCTGACTATTGTAAATGAAATTTTTGTTGCACATCAGGGCAACTAGCATGAACGTTGGTGCCAGTTCTAATATTCATCAGAGTATAACTTTTGTTTTTTCCTGGTTTGGAAGTGGGGAGGGGGCTTTGGGGG